TTATTGCACCCATCCTCGACTTCAACAATCAAAATTTCAAATTTAGAGAAAATGAAAAGAAAAAAAGAAAAAAAAAACATAAGCCAAACATCATACCCACTACGATCGGTAGTAAACGACCCGCTCAGGAAGCATATATGAGATCTCTGAACTTCGACCCACTCACTGGCTTTCACAAAAGTGTTGGATTGAACGGCATTGCAAACCATGGCGGGAGTAACTGAGAAAGCGGAGAGGGATGGCATGGAGGATAGAGATGGAGGGTTTCAGAAATTGGGGCTAGGGGCAGTGGGTAAGTGGGGTGGAGGTCAAGGAAAGGCGGGGATGGGGGAGGACTATTGCACCTGGGAAAATGTAGCCTTCAGGATGGAAGGGGCAGTATGGGGAAGACAAACACAGGGGTTTTTGGTGGTGGGAGGCAAATGGAAATAACCATCTTCTAACAAATAGAAACTCTTTAATTATTTTTTATATAGATAAATTTTGGTATATAAAATTAGTTTGATTTTTTTTTTAACAATAAATTAGTTTGATTAATTAGTATAAAAATAATTTATTTATATAAGGGCAATTTAGTAATCAAACTAGTTTTAACTCTGATTCCAATGAGTTTGTAAACAACTTATATAAAACCAACATCATTCATCTCCGATCCCAGACAGTTTTAGTAAACAACTTCAACATAATCTGATTCTGCTTCCATCTCATTCCAATTCCTTCTCAATCCAATTCATTCTCAATTCAATTCCCCTCGATCTGACGCGCCATTAATTTCTTAGGAAAACTAACAAAAAGTCCAAAAACTTTAATTTTAATAAAAATTGACAAATAAATATGTAAGTAAATAATAGGAAGAAAAGGTAAAAATGTAATTTTTCGTTAAAAATAAACGGTACCGATAATTTCCTTCCCTCTGCCTTCTTCCTCCCTTTAAAACTCTCAAAAACATTTCTCTGTAATCACATCGTTTTCTGATCTGGGTCTTCATTGCTTGTTTATTTCAGATCATAGTTTTCAATTTCATTTGGGTTCTGCTAACTTCATCACCGGTGATAGAAAAAATAATATGCTGTTGATGGGTTTTTGTCGGTTTCTTGATTGGTGTAATCAGAATGTGAGAAATGGGTTTTGTGCATGAGATGCAGAAAGTGGATATTTGCTTTCAGGTCAGCCCTTCCTTCTTCTCACTTCTCCATGTTGCATATATGTGTCTATATATATGTGTGTGTGTGTGTGTATATATATTGATCTTCTCATATGAATGCTTTTGTTTTGTTATGTGAAAATAAATGGTAGAGAAAAGAAAATAATTTGCTTTTGTCATCGTGGATTTCTAATTGTTTGGGACCTGAGAATTTTCAAAGTGGGTGGAGTTAGTTCATCATAATCTGAAACTGAAAGCATAAGTCTTAAGGTTCAAATATATGGATTCTTTCTTGCATTTTTTTTTCTGCAGCCAAAGTTGGGATTAGGATTTGGATTTATAAAAGTGAAGCGAGAATGGTTTGCCTTGCCATTGGTTTTTTATCCAAAAAGGATCGGTCTTTCTTGTTATTCTGCAGTTACTAGTAAATAAGTTGTTTGGGTTGAATTTTACAACGGGCTTACCTGTTTCGTGATACTTAGTTACTGTTTCCAAGTGTTTCCGTTTATTTCCTTTTCGACTTCTCTATACTAATGTGATTAAACTGAGCCAGTACAATCGTTTGATATTTGAATATCTTGGCAGGATTAAGTTGCACATTTGGTTTTGGATATTTGGAATTATCGAGATCAAGGGTTTGGACCTGCATTTTCTTTCTTCTTAATTGAATTCAAGAGAAACAAAAGAGAGTGATAGGAATTAACTTTATCATTGGCGCTGATATGGATCTCATTCAGCCGTCTTCTGCTTGTGGATAGCTTATGTTTGTATTCTGTCAAATGAACTTTGCGGGTTGATAGGTGGAGCTCATTCAGCTACACAGTGCAGTTTTTGGAAATCATTGGTTTGTGTTCGCGAAAATTCCTTTAGTTGGGAAATTTCTTCGCGAGGTTTTTTTACTATGGGTAGAAGCAGAGGAAAAGCAAAGAAACAAAATGTTATTGCTGCTCATGAGGATACTGGAAGTGGTGAAGAGGAATGGATTCTACCAAGCAGGAGAAGAGGAAGGCCACAAAAGACATTGAAGGACGATATTGGAGAAGGAGAAGTGGCTTTGAAGACAGAAGATGGCGATGATGCAAAAGGTCATGTTTCAAGCAAAGACATGAAAGACCAATCTGCGATAGAGAATGGAAGGAAAAGGTAGAGGTCGGCTCAGGTCAAAGAAACTATAAAATCAGTCAAAGAGGATAAAATGATTAAAACAAAATCAAGTCTTGATGACCCGAAAAAGTTTGTTGGATTCCGGCAAAATGGGAGTAGGCGGAAAAATAAGCCTCACCAAGCTGCTGAAGCTGGTGTTGAGTGCAAATGAGTTCAGTTCTGCTGTTGTGATGGTTACACACCTTCTTTGCTCACCTCCTTGTTGGTTCACCTATCATTCCTTATACTGTCTTTGTTATGTGTTTTGCATTTCTATAATTTCTGAGTTCCTTCTTTGCTAGTGGATGATTTTGACTGTGAGGTTCTGATAAAAAGAATATCTCTGACCAAATTCATTTTTTGAAATCAGACGGAATGCATTCATTTTTCTGTGCATATTCCTTTTTTGCCCGAAAAAGGAAAATAAATATGGGCATATGTATGTGATGAATGTGAACATATGCTTGGATTTGACTACTAGTTAACAAAATGAGAGCTAGGCGAGGAGGAGTATGGAAGCATCAAAATTATCAAAATCCAGTTTAAACTAGTGCCTTTGATGTAGGCTAGCTGCTCAAAAGAATGAAAACTGAAAACTTATAGCTGGAGATAGACCTGTGGACCCAATGTCTGAATAAAGACATGTCCTTTGTGATGATGTATTATAGGTCTTGAATGGATTTTGTTGCACATTCATTGAACATGTGGACTAGAGATGTGGCCTTTGTAATGGTTTTCCATGGTATCATCTCTCTCTCTCTCTCTCTCTCTAACAGCGTATGGATAATTTCGTACTCTGACTTCTTATGAACATGTTAGCAGAAGTTTAATGTTGACACTTTGTCGCAGTTGATAGCTGAGGATACTCAAATACTCAACAAAGGAAAATCAGGTGAGTTTAAGGGTTAATTTTATTGAAGTCTTATGTAATTATATGTTCCTGTGCTGAGTCATGGATGTCATTCCCTTGAAGCTTGATAACAGTCATCTCTCTGTGAATATATGTTGTTGTCCTTTTCAATTATCACAGCAAAAACTTGAAGGTTGCCTTGACAATTGTTTGTTTTCTTCCACCATGCTTTATGGTGCTTGATAAAGTGTGCTCTTATTCACAAACATGCCTGCACGCACACACTTTTCCACATTCTGATATGCTGGCAAACAACGAAAAGCAGCATTTCCAAAATAGAAATTTTATATGCTTTTGCTTTGTGGTTCCTATTTTAGGAGATTCTGTTCGAAGCAATGGGGATGGAGATAATATTATACTGTGTGTACAGAGGAGGGAAACATGATATGTCAAAGACTCAAACGTTGATGCTTAAGCAACAAATAGATTGTACTCGGTATTGTTTGTTTACTGTGTTATGTTTAATTTAAGTCATTTGTCAACAAACCAAGTTAGCCAACTGAACATACGACTCTGATTGATATAAACAAAGTTACTTGTTACTTGAACTATCACATGATTCACATCTGAAACTTAGAAGCATTTTGTTACTTAAACAAAGTTACTTGTTACTTGAAGTCATTTGGAGTAAACTGATAAAATTTGACTATCCTTGCCAACATTTTGACTATTGACAACTTCTCAACCATATTTACTGATTGTGAGAACTGGTTGCATTTGAAACGCGCAGCATCGCACGGGTAAGTTTTGCTAGTAAATGTCTAGTTTGAAGACGTGAAAACTAGTTTGTATGAGATTCAAAGATATATATAGTTATGTAATTATATGTTCCCGTGCTGAGTCATGGATGTCGTTCCCTTTAAGCTTGATAACAGTCATCTCTGTGAATATATGTTGTCCTTTTTACTTATCACGGTAAGAAAATGAAGGTTGCTTAGACAATTGTTAGTTTTCTTCCGCCATGCTTTATGGTGCTTGATAAAGTGTGGTCTTATTCACAAACAAACGTGCGAGGACACACTTACAGACATTCTGGCAAACAATGAAAAACTACATTTTCAAAATAGAATTTTTATATGCTTTTGCTTTCTGGTTCCTATTTTAGGCGATTCCATTCGAAGTAATGGGGATGGAGATGATGTTATACTCTCTGTGTGCAGAGGAGGTAAACATGATATGTCAAAGATTCGAATGTTGATGCTAAATCAACGGATAGAGTGTAATCAGTATTATTTGTTTACTGTGTCATGTTTAATTTAAGTCATTTGTCAACAAAGTTACTTCTTACTTGAACTATCACATGATTCACATCTAAAAATTAGAAGCATTTTTTCATGTCAATTCATTCCTTGACCAAATGCATCTCATTTCTATTGATATGGAGCACGCACTTCTTCATTATTTCATCCTTGGCCTTGACCTCGTCCACAGTTGTTGGCACCAAAGCAATTTCATTTCCGTTTAAGCTTGTGAATTGGGATACAAGGAGCATAACCGTCATCCCATACAAATTTCCAGCGCTGGTCAAGACAAAAGGTCCAGTTTACCTCACTCTCACTCTGGAAGTTATCGAACCTGAGATGGCTTGATGTTGCCTTCTCCCATATTTCCTTCTCATTTTAAGCCTACTTGTTTGAATTTACTAGCGTTTCTGTTAGAATCCTGTATTTCATTTTCTATTTCAAAGATTTGTACGCCTTCTCTCTATCAATAGAACGATTAAAACCAGTTTATTCATCTCTCTTCTATTTCGTTCGAGCACTCACGAACGCTCACTCTGTTTGTACGTTGGCAGCATCCATCAGGAGCACACTTGCACGCATCTTTCTCTTGTACCAAGTTGGATGCCATAGTTCGAAAACAAGAAAAGTTGTTCAATACAGATTTCTTTGCATTGATGAGTTTGCAGATCAACATCAAATAATTTGGGTGATAAATTTACATACTTACAGTAACACAAACAAATTGAACCAATTCGTAATACAAGACAAAAAGTATTTGAGAACGAAACACTCTTTGTTGAAGAGTTGCTACTCAGAACTATCCTTCAACAAATCACGACGGCTTTTCCTGTTCTTATTACCTCTCCCTCCCAGTTCATTATGAGCGAACTCCTTGTGCTCTCGGTGTATATTAATACCACACTTCAAACATTCACATACCAATCCTTGGCAAATCTCAGAACACTTGGAACAAGGAAGTAAGTGCTCTCTCTTATCATTAGGAATCTCGCTTTTTCTCTTATCAACGAGGGCGACGTTGTGCTGGTGATCATCATGCTTGTAAGAGCCCCCTAACTTGACTTGCGGATACCTCCCTCGAATGCAATGAGGATGACATTCAAAGTCACAATCCGGGCAGGAGTAGAACCAATGTTTTCGATCTCGTATTCCTTCGCATTTGTCACAATAGTACTCATCGAGGTCATTTTTTGCACTAGTATAAGTGAGTTTGAGAGGATGATCGTCGTATTTGTACCTGACCGTAAGAGGTAATTTAACACACGAAATACATAGTTGGAAGTTGCATCTCTCACTGCCACATCTGAAGCAGAAATTCTTTTTACGAGTACGACAACTGTTGCAGGACACGAGCTTTGTGCTGAACCGGAGGGTGTGATCATGAGCATCACAACGGAGAGTCCTACGCTCATAAAGAAGACTACAATAAATGTCGAGGTAGTAGTCGCACCCTTGACAATGGTATGAGAAACCTTGGCTCAAGGACGCGCACATGTCACACATAAACACGCCCCCGACAGAAGATGCTGTTGGAAGGAGTGTGAGCTCGTGTTCGTGAAGTGGGAGAAGCGTCTTTTGGGGTAGTTTAGCACAATTTATGTGGAGAGAGAAATTACATGGCTTTTCTATTGCCTGTTGTGCGCATGACCTATAAGACTCACCCCTCATGATGGGTAGCGTGCAACCGTTACAAGTAATTCCTTCATCTTGGTCGTCTTGTCTAGCCACCTCTTGGCCATCGATGAGGGTTAACATGTGTGGATGACTGAAGTGCTCGATCTGCAGGGCTTTATCATCAGCGGTGGTCTCAATGGCTGAGGGACATTTGGATGTGGATGGTTCATCATTATCATCGACGGGGATGAGCACCGAAATTCTTATGCATTTACTGTGGGCAGCATAGCCACGACATTCATGATCATGACAACAATACAAAGCACGGATTCCGTCCACATTTTCTTCGCAGATGTCACAGAAATCTTGGTAATTGGGGTACTTGTCTTGGAACCACCAGGTAAGTTTGAGTTGGTGTTGGTGCCATGGTATTTTGACTGGGAGTGGTAACCAAGAGCATTTGCGATGGACAATGAGCTGGCAGATTTTACAGATGTAGTTGTATTGAAGATCGTCATCCCCTTGGCCACAGAAATCGCAGGTGAATTTAATGGGGCCCGTAAGGGTGGTGAAGTTGTGCTTATGACCGTCGTTTTGGTTTTGCCACTGGGAAGCACATTTGATGTCTATCCAGAAGTTGCATCCGGAACAATAGTATGCTAGACAGACTTCTCTTGGAAATAATTGGCTACACACACCACATTGGATGCCGCGGTGGAATTCTTTGTCGGTGAGAATAAGAGGGTGATTGGGGTGGATCGGGTGGGGGATCTCACGGGGTAACTCTGCACATTGCTTATGTATAATCCAACGGAAGCCACGATACCACTCCATATTACACGTGTCGCAAGCATAGTGAGGCCCAATCACTGGTTCCAGGCACCCGTTACAGAACTCCAGTGGACCATCATTCTTCTTCTCTTCCTTCAAAGTCAATGAATGCCGGTGAGAGAAATGAATTTTCGGATCCATCTCTTTATCTGATGCATGCGAGTACTGCTTAATTCAGTAGATATTACCAACTAATATAATAACAACTAAAAACTTGTAAACATGGATGCAAATTTGCACCAATAAATTAATCATAAATAAAATATGTTTTTAAAATATTAAAAAAATAAGAATCATACTACTAATTAAGAATACAAGAGGAAGAAATATTATTTAAAAGTTCAATTACAAAGAAAAAGTTTGTACACAGAGGAGAGAACTCGGAGTTACCAATACGGGAGCTCTTCAACGCCTCTCTCGATAAAAGCTCGTGAACTCTATCTGATGCAAGCAGTACTACTTAAATCAGTAGATATTACCAACTAATATGATAAGAACAAATGTAAACATGGATGCAAATTTGCACCAACAAATTAATCATAAATAAAATATGCTTTTAAAATATTAAAAAACTAAGAATCATACTAATCAAGAATACAAGAGGAAGAAATATTATTTAAAAGTTCAATTACAAAGAAAAGTTTGTACACAGAGGGGAGAACTTGGAGTTACCAATATGGGAAGGCCTCAACGCACGCCTCGATAAAATCTTGTGAATTTCCGGATCCATCACTTTATCTGATGCATGCAGTAATTCAATAGATATTACCAACTAATATGATAAGAACTAAAAACTTGTAAACCTGGATGCAAATTTGCACCAATACATTAATCATAAATAAAATACGTTTATAAATTATTTAAAAAACAAGAATCATACTAATCAAGAATACAAGAGGAAGAAATATTATTTAAAAGTTCAATTACAAAGAAAAGGTTTATACACAGAGGGGAGGACTTGGAGTTACCAATATGAGAAGGCATCAACGCTGATGCACGCCTCGATAAAAGCTCGTGAATTTCCGAATCCATCTCTCTATCTGATGCATGCAGTACTACTTAATTCAGTAGATATTACCAACTAATATGATAAGAACTAAAAACTTGTAAACATGGATGCAAATTTGCAACAATAAATTAAGCATAAATAAAAAATGTTTTTAAAATATTAAAAAAATAAGAATCATACTAATCAAGAATACAAGAGGAAGAAATATTATTTAAAAGTTCAATTACAAAGAAAAGGTTTGTGCACAAAGGGGACGACTAGGAGTTACCAATATGGGAAGGCCTCAACGCCGATGCACGCCTCGATAAAAGCTCGTGAGTTTCCGGATCCATCTCTCTATCTGACGCATGCAGTACTACTTAATTCAGTAGAAATTACTAACTAATATGATAAGAACTAAAAACTTGTAAACATGGATGCAAATTTGCACCAATAAATTAAGCATAAATGAAATATGTTTTTAAAATATTAAAAAAAGAAGAATCATACTAATCAAGAATACAAGAGGAAGAAATATTATCTAAAAGTTCAATTACAAAGAAAAGGTTTGTACACGGAGGAGAGGACTCGGAGTTACCAATATGGGAAGGCCTCAACGCCGACGCACGCCTCGATAAAAGCTCGTGACTTTCTGAATCCATCTCTCTATCTGATGCATGCAGTACTACTTAATTCAGTAGATATTACCAACTAATATGATAAGAACTAAAAACTTGTAAACATGGATGCAAATTTGCACCAATAAAGTAATCATAAATAAAATATATTTTTAAAATATTAAAAAAATAAGAATCATACTAATTAAGAATACAAGAGGAAGAAATATTATTTAAAAGTTCAATTACAAAGAAAAGGTTTGTACACATAGGGGAGGACTCGGAGTTATCAATATGGGAAGGCTTCAAAGCCGACGCACGCCTCGATAAAAGCTCGTGACTTTCCGGATTCATCTCTCTATCTGATGCATGTAGTACTACTTAATTCAGTAGATATTACCAAATAATATGATAAGAACTAAAAACTTGTAAACATGGATGCAAATTTGCACCAATAAATTAATCATAAATAAATACGTTTTTAAAATATTAAAAAAATAAGAATCATACTAATCAAGAATACAAGAGGAAGAAATATTATTTAAAAGTTCAATTACAAAGAAAAGGTTTGTGCATAGAGTGGAGGACTCAGAGTTACCAATATGGGAAGGCCTCAACGCCGACGCACGCCTCGGTAAAAGCTTGTGAATTTCCGGATCCATCTCTCTATCTGATGCATGCAGTACTACTTAATTCAGAAGATATTACCAACTAATATGATAAGAACTAAAAACTTGTAAACATGGATGCAAATTTGCACCAATAAATTAAGCATAAATAAATACGTTTTTTAAATATTAAAAAAATAAGAATCATACTAATCAAGAATACAAGAGGAAGAAATATTATTTAAAAGTTCAATTACAAAGAAAAGGTTTGTGCACGGAGGAGAGGACTCGGAGTTACCAATATGGGAAGGCCTCAACGCCGACGCACGCCTCGATAAAAGCTCGTGACTTTCTGAATCCATCTCTCTATCTGATGCATGCAGTACTACTTAATTCAGTAAAAATTACCAACTAATATGATAAGAACTAAAAACTTGTAAACATGGATGCAAATTTGCACCAATAAATTAAGCATAAATGAAATATGTTTTAAAAATATTAAAAAAATAAGAATCATACTAATCAAGAATACAAGAGGAAGAAATATTATTTAAAAGTTCAATTACAAAGAAAAGGTTTGTACACGGAGGAGAGGACTCGGAGTTACCAATATGGGAAGGCCTCAACGCCGACGCACGCCTCGATAAAAGCTCGTGACTTTCTGAATCCATCTCTCTATCTGATGCATGCAGTACTACTTAATTCAGTAGATATTACCAACTAATATGATAAGAACTAAAAACTTGTAAACATGGATGCAAATTTGCACCAATAAAGTAATCATAAATAAAATATATTTTTAAAATATTAAAAAAATAAGAATCATACTAATTAAGAATACAAGAGGAAGAAATATTATTTAAAAGTTCAATTACAAAGAAAAGGTTTGTACACATAGGGGAGGACTCGGAGTTACCAATATGGGAAGGCTTCAACGCCGATGCATGCCTCAATAAAAGCTCGTGACTTTCCGGATTCATCTCTCTATCTGATGCATGCAGTACTACTTAATTCAGTAGATATTACCAACTAATATGATAAGAACTAAAAACTTGTAAACATGGATGCAAATTTGCACCAATAAATTAATCATAAATAAATACGTTTTTAAAATATTAAAAAAATAAGAATCATACTAATCAAGAATACAAGAGGAACAAATATTATTTAAAAGTTCAATTACAAAGAAAAGGTTTGTGCATAGAGGGGAGGACTCAGAGTTACCAATATGGGAAGGCCTCAACGCCGACGCACGCCTCGGTAAAAGCTTGTGAATTTCCGGATCCATCTCTCTATCTGATGCATGCAGTACTACTTAATTCAGAAGATATTACCAACTAATATGATAAGAACTAAAAACTTGTAAACATGGATGCAAATTTGCACCAATAAATTAAGCATAAATAAATACGTTTTTTAAATATTAAAAAAATAAGAATCATAATACAAGAGGAAGAAATATTATTTAAAAGTTCAATTACAAAGAAAAGGTTTGTACACAGAGGGGAGGACTCGGAGTTACCAATATGGGAAGGCCTCAACGTCGACGCACGCCTCGATAAAAGCTCGTGAATTTTCGGATCCATCTCTCTATCTGATGCATGCAGTACTACTTAATTCAATAGATATTACCAAATAATATGATAAGAACTAAAAACTTGTAAACATGGATGCAAATTTGCACCAATAAATTAAACATAAATAAAATATGTTTTTAAAATATTAAAAAAATAAGAATCATACTAATTAAGAATACAAGAGGAAGAAATATTATTTAAAAGTTCAACTACAAAGAAAAGGTTTGTACACATAGGGGAGGACTCGGAGTTACCAATATGGAAAGGCTTCAACGCCGACGCACGCCTCGATAAAAGCTCATGACTTTCCGGATTCATCTCTCTATCTGATGCATGCAGTACTACTTAATTCAGTAGATATTACCAGCTAATATGATAAGAACTAAAAACTTGTAAACATGGATGCAAATTTGCACCAATAAATTAATCATAAATAAATACGTTTTTAAAATATTAAAAAAAATAAGAATCATACTAATCAAGAATACAAGAGGAAGAAATATTATTTAAAAGTTCAATTACAAAGAAAAGGTTTGTGCATAGAGGGGAGGACTCAGAGTTACCAATATGGGAAGGTCTCAACGCCGACGCACGCCTCGGTAAAAGCTTGTGAATTTCCGGATCCATCTCTCTATCTGATGCATGCAGTACTACTTAATTCAGTAGATATTACCAACTAATATGATAAGAACTAAAAACTTGTAAACATGGATGCAAATTTGCACCAATATATTAAGCATAAATAAATACGTTTTTAAAATATTAAAAAAATAAGAATCATACTAATCAAGAATACAAGAGGAAGAAATATTATTTAAAAATTCAATTACAAAGAAAAAGTTTGTGCATAGAGGGGAGGACAGTTACCAGTAGGGGAAGGTCTCAACGCCGACGCACGCCTCGATAATAGCTCGTGAATTTCTGGATCCATCTCTCTATCTGATGCATGCAGTACTACTTAATTCAGTAGATATTACCAACTAATATGATAAGAAAGAAAAACTTGTAAACATGGATGCAAATTTGCACCAATAAATTAATCATAAATAAAATATGTTTTTAAAATATTAAAAAAATAAGAATCATACTAATCAAGAAAACAAGAGGAGGAAATATTATTTAAAAGTTCAATTACAAAGAAAAGGTTTGTACACAGAGGGGAGGACTCAGAGTTACCAATATGGGAAGGCCTCAACACCGACGCACGCCTCGATAAAAGCTCTTGAATTTCCTGATCCATCTCTATTCATGTAGTACTACTTAATACGGTAGATATTACCAACTAATATGATAAGAACTAAAAACTTGTAAACATGGATGCAAATTTGCACCAATAAAGTAATCATAAATAAAATATATTTTTAAAATATTAAAAAAATAAGAATCATACTAATAAGAATACAAGATGAAGAAATATTATTTAAAAGTTCAATTACAAAGAAAAAGTTGGTACATCGAGGGGAGGACTCGGAGCTACTACCTCAGTGCTGGAATCCTATGCCTCAACAAGCCGGTCAACCGGGTCGTCGAGTCGAGCCCAGTTGTAAAAAACTCACCAGTTTCTGCAGAATTCGTCGGAATTCTTCACCGCTCGGCGTGCATGCTTTGACGTTAGATAGGAATACTGGGCTTTCCTGTCATCAAGCCGGTGAACCGAGCCTTCGAGCCGAGCCCAGTTGCAGAAATCTCAGAAGTTTCTGCAGAACTCTTCACCGCTCGCCGCCGTGCATGCTTTGACGTTCGATTGGAATACTGGGCTCTGCTCTCAAACTCGAGGCGAGTCCAATGGTGGTCTGGACACGTGAGGAGAGACGAAACTGGTGGTGCCCTTGGTTTGGGCCATGGTGACCGGAAAAGTTGGGCCGTGGTGCCCTTCCTCAACGGGAAAACCTTTATTTAAAGTAAATAAAACCCACCGGCAGTTTTCACTTGCACGACATGTGCGAGTTTCACACAAGTCCGCGTAAAAATTTATCATTTATCGTCATACTTTAACGAGCATAGTTTTTTCGTTACAAGTCTGATTTTGGATTTAGTTTATGCTTACGGGTTCGTATTGAGGAGTAATTAAAAAATGAGTGTAATATTCATACATCTCATTTTACTTTTCATACATCTTTTTAATTTTCGACCGTCAGATCAGATGAATTGAAGAAGATCAATGAATATAAATTATCAAATGATGTGTGAGAAGTAAAATAAGATGTGTAAATAGCACATTCTTTAAAATAAAACAACCAGATGTGCTTAAAGTAGAAGGCAAGGCAAACAAAAGGCAAATGTGTGATTCCAAAAAAAAATTGAAAAGGCAAAAGGCAAAGGCAAAGGTGCTTAAAGCATAACGGAAGCCTTTTTTTTTTAATTAGAGCACAACAGTCGGCTTTAGTTTATAATCATGACCTTTACGTTAAGAATTTAAGAATCCTTGAAGACTAGGCCATGTTTATTTCTTTATCTCGTCGTGTATAATTTGATAGCTTGCATTACACGAAAAAATAAAAGATTCTAATAATTTGTTAACCTTTAATAATTCTGGTTTAGATCATTGAATTTTCTTTTTCCTATGACAAAATATTTAACTTCATTTATAAGATTATTTTACAGAGATTATACTACGCAATGTTAGAGCAATACTAAAAAATATCAAAATAATACAAGAATTGTAATGATAATAATCATAATGAAAATTACAACATAAATTTAAATTGTTTACAAGATTAATATAAACAACAGAGAAAGTAAGAAATACTGACAAATTTATTGTTTGTTGGAAATTAATTTATAATATATATATATATATATATATATTTGTGAATGAAAATAAAGAGTCAAAGTGTTATAATTGAATTCAAATTCATGAGTTGCATCTGTTCGTTGAAACTTTAAGTAACAGTCAAATGTTTCAAAATGGATGGCTCGAATTCTATAAACTCAAGCATTCCACCTATCCAATACATACAAAGCCTATCTAATACATACAAAAAAAAAACAGTAAATTCTTACTCTTGAGAAATAGGTTTTCCCACTCTATTTCCACCAAGGTTCAAAGATTTGAAGTGCTTCGACTTTGGATTATAGATTGTTAAATTCTGAGAGACAAACACCTACCGAACTACAAGCACAAGAGTAGGGGCGAAATTCAGTCTTTAGGACATTGCATTTATGCAAGTCTCAATCTCCAAGTTTGTTAATATTTCTTACTTTCTCTGTTGTTTATATTAATGTTGTATACAATTTATGTTGTGATTTTCATTATGATTATTATCATTAAAATTCTTGTATTATTTTCATATTTTCAAATATTACTCCAACAATCTAAAGACAAATTATTTATGGGACAGTTAGAAAATATGGATGTGAAAAAAAATCTCAAAGAGAAGAAAAATTGACATCATAAGATGACAAATCTAGCCATCATTTGGAAGAAGGGGGCGTTTCTCTAATATGAGATATTAATGTCAAATGGTTTGGAACTTAATAACTGTTAGGGCATGTTTGTTGCACCTCCTTAGGAGGGATTGGCTTGGACTACCTTAAGTAGGACTATAAGCCTACGTTTGGTAGGTTGTGGGACTAAAATAAATGGGACTCACCTCGACTACGAGTCCCTGTGCACTTCGCTAAACCTCTCAGCCTAATCCCACGCTTTCGCTTGGTATTAGCAAGGACTAGAAGAAGGAAACCAGGCCAACATCTAATCCCCACTTTCGCTTGCTAAACCCCCTAGTCCATCCATGCTCCGCCTTCTTCTACGGAGTCGTCACCATGGCCAAGCCATCGGCGGTGACCCACCTTCATCTTTTGTGCGACCAAGATTTGGTGTTGTCGAGGGAGGACGACGACGAGCTCAAAGAAGAAGAGATCGTCGACGACCAAAGATTCGGTGTCGTCAAAGCCACGGAAAGGAATAGCGCTACAGTTGCACACTCTAGAGCATTCTTGGACCTTCTGGAGTTTTGGTTTAATTTTGAGTTCTGGAGTTCTAGGATAATTTTGTTTGGTTGGTGGGAAAACTTACATGGATTTGGCATTGCAGTGTTGAGTTCTGGGTTTAATTTTGATATTAATTTCTTTCATTTCCTTTTTTTTGGGTTTAATTTTGAGTTCTAGGTTAATTTTGTTAGGGCCTCAAAGTCTCGTTCTCAAAGGAATATACAGTGTGTGGTCTTTGTCATCACCGGCATGCTTTTCTCATCTCCATTTTCTAGTGTTTTACGTTGCCCATATACAATGTGGCGTTGCATTTCTTTCTTAATTTCTTGTTCTCCTATTAACAAAAAAATTGGGTCAATATTTTAGTCCGACACTTAATCCGGCACTGCACCAAACACTTCATTATTTTTATCTTGTTTAGTCTAAACCAAGTCAATCCAACTTAATCCCTAAAGCTAATCTAGTCCGAGATAGTCCGGTGCAACAAACGCACCCTTCAGATTTTATCACATTGAGATGAGATTTCTACACTGTCGTATATACCTTTTCAGTGTGGCGTGCACGGGGGTGCAGTTATAACTTTTTGTTGAAATTTGGAATCAAATCATTCATACAAAAAGGTTTCGATGCTTGGCATGAACAACTGTTTGTTTCATTTTTTTTTTTTGGAACACCTACTGTTTGTTTGATTGGGGTAGATCTTGTATGTCAACTAAGTTATTTATGAATTTTACTTTTGTTAGAAATACATCTGGGTACGTTCTGCACATGATGTAATTATGTGTTTTCGCGCTTTTCTGCTCTGTTTTGCATTGGTTTAACGGAACCATAATCTTGTACGTGCACAAGTAAAAATGACTAATTTGAATAATCATATGAAATGGTCAAACGGTTTGTCTTTGCAAACTGTGAGCATGTTTGATATACTAATCAAGACATGGCTTCACTGTTTACTGTAATATATATTTTCCAAAAATTAATCTAAGGACATGAATTTTGTTTTATATATGTTAGAACTTACTATATGTTAGAACTTACTAGAAAATCTGTTTGTGTTTTGCTACGGGCATTGAATGTATTATTCGCAATAGGCATAAATAATTTGCATATAAAGATGCACTAAAAAGGCAGTAGGAAGGGAATCACACCCTCAAATGCACCAATGCAGATAACACACATTTTACCAAAGCAAATAACACACATGAATGCCCCTTCACATAAACTACAGGCCAAGATGCAGAGAAGACATTTGCATATTTCTTCAAGGAAATTTTCTAGGCCATTGTTATATTATGTATTAAAGAGAACAAAACTCCATTCCCCAAACACTAAATTTGTTCACTTGAGTCACAATCCTCTTTCAAGGATAGTAAAACTCAAAAGCTTACTGTCCAAAACCAGAAACAATTTGTAACATTTACATGCCTGTGCAACATATGCCTTACACTAGAAAAATGTCTAAACTCAAATACAAATTTGTAATCACAGACAGATTTTGTTTTACATTTTTATAATCAAGTAGCAAGTAAAATTACAAACTTGCAGCAACGAAACACACAACATATTGTATGGAAGGTAACCGTAGAGGTTTGTGAAGCAAACTGTGGCATGAGCTGAAGCCTCTTGAACAAATTGGAGGTACTTTAGCCTCTGTTCTTCCTCCTCAATAAAAAAAAATTACAAAAACATAGTAGCTTCACCAAAAAATGCATGATGAAATGGATACATAGTTTTCATGCAAAGAGAGAGAGTACTTTAAATCATTTTATATAATATAAGACAACTATACAAAGATGTTTAGCATTATATCTTAGGTACACGTATAATACACAGATTTGATGTGCGCCTAAGTAAATCTCGTAGGATTGTCAACTGGCCAAAATATATTAGACAGTAACCAAAAGAAAGCACTTTTAGTAGGTTAACTATTATACACTATGGAAATTAAAATGAAAGTACCAAACCAAAACCCCGATCAAAACAAAAGGCCTGCTTGACCAACTTTATTTACACCGAAAAATGTTTTAGCTTTTTGAAAGAAGTTTTACATGAAATGTATCAATTGGGTGGATCAAGCTCTTGGAGCTCTTTGAATCACTTTATGATCCTAATTGGTACAATTGAAAATGAAGAGTGTAATCAAACTTCATGAGTCTAATTTAAAAAAAAATTAAAGACCAGCTTGAAAATAAATTAAAAAGCTGAAAATATGCTGTAAAAAGGCATTCAACTCTGCATTTACCTGCATAGTTTCAAGTTGTCTAAGAAAATGCTTGGTATATTCTGGCAATTGAGCAATCAACTCTGTACATAGGTGTTCAGTTGCCTAAAAATATAACAGAAATGAAATAAATTGCAACATATTTGGAATACTGGTGTATGAAACGTAATTTTCAAATTAGATCCAAGCTAATTAAAATGCCAAACCCTTTCAAGTAAGCTTGGCAGCCACTGATCGTGGTGTGTTACAAATCGGAAAAACAAAACCAGATGAACAACAAAATGTAAGTCGTAATCTGCAGAAGATTAATACCTTCACTAACTAAATAAACCGAGAATGAAAACATAACAATTACCAAAGGAATCTGAATAAAATGTCAAAAGTGATACATTGAGATAAGGTTGGTGCATCAAAATCACTATAAAATATTCATAAACCTAGTATGCATCAAAATCACTAAAAATTGACTTAACTTGCTTGTCAGAATATAAAAAATTCAAATAATATTGTTTCCAAAAAACTTGTTCAAAAGTAAAAAAAACCATTCATCTCTAAGGCTCTAACAATATGGCAGGGTGGACTTCCTCTTCCACATTTAATAGTGAATTGAAGACCAATGCTGGCGGTAGACCAAGAGTAAGTACAACTCAACTGCAGCAACAAAAACTCAATTGATTTTCACACTAAAGAAATAAATAATAAATAATAAAAAAACACATACTTGCACCCAATCCGTTGTTTTTTCTTTCTTTCTGTGCAGTATAAGAATAAAAAAGGATAACAT